AGAATTAAACTTTATCTATAAAAATTATATTTTTATTCATAGAATTTCCTTATGACCTTGGACAAATTTTTTATTAATCTCCATTTTATTTCTCATATGGTTATGAGAGTGGTTTTGTTGTATTGAATTTTACAATACTATATCTTAGGAATTAATATACTATTTTAATTGATATAGACATTAATTATTCAAACAAAATTATTAATATTGCCTAATAATACTTATAATAAACATTTTTGAAAGAATTTTGCTGAGAGTGTTTAGTAATTTGTCTATTAATTTGTTTTCAGTTATTTATATATCTAAGAATAAAAAAAAAACATAAAAGTATATTTTTTCATTAAACACTTAAATTCTTATGATTTTATTTAAATTTAAACTTAAGTTTTTTTTATTATTAGTATTTCTGATACCCTTTAAATCTTTTAGTTCATGATTCTCGAAAAGAATGTAAATTTAGCATTCAATAAAATTGCACAAACCTTAAAAGCCTTGTATGCAAAATAAGTAAATCGTTAAAATAAATTTGAGAATTTTAACTGTAAAATGTCAAAGTATGAAGTTTTAACTATAAAAATATGGACTTGGTTAGTTATATTTGGTATAAAAATACACTTTAAATAAATACAGAATTAGAATATAATTAAAGGTATCTAAATTAGATATTTTCTTGTCACAATAAAAAGCAAATATGATATCTGCATATTTCTGTCTCCAAAAATAAAAGAATATGAAAAGATTTTACTTAACAACATATTGATAAATTGATCATAAATCAAAAAGATTTATATATTAATAAATTAATTTTTAATTATATGAAATCTAATTTTAATCATGGCAAATCTTCTTATTTCATGATACTCTTAATTTGAGGTTAAATTGAATCATCAAATAACAATATTGATTGAGGTAATAAATAAACTACTTTTCTTAGATGGCTTATTTACTTTATTACATAGTTGCTATTTTTTATAACTATAGATGATTCAATTGTTTTTTTACAGTTTTATATGAATAGTCAGTATAATAAAGGATATATGAAAAAGAAGAATACTAAAATTATTTAATTAAATATCAATTAAAATGCAATACAAAATGCATAACTAACCTAAAATTTTAATTAAATTGGTTAGAGTAAAATTCATATGTAATTCGCTAGAGTAGTTATTTAAGGTTTGAGCTAAATCTTTTAGTAATTCTTAAAAAATCCAAGATTAGAAGATAGCCCCTTCTAATCTCGTAATGGTATTACTAATTTATTTTTTTTATTTTTCTCCATATTAATTCAGCTACTTAACAATACTTGAGTAGCTGGTCTGGATATAAAATTATTAGCTTATTTTTCAGCATAAACCGAAGTACATATTAAATTCAATGTAAGTGCAGCTGATAGGTTCATTTCGCCTTTATTAAAGATTCCTTATAAAACAAATTGACATAAGGATTATGAAAAATTTGAATATTTCTATATATGATAATAATTACTTCAGGCAAGAAATTAAATAAGGATTGTGTGCTTATTATATCAGTGAATTAATTCATTGAATTATCATATAAAAGATAATCATTTTAATTGACTTGTAGAAATTAAGTGTAAAATTATTAATCTATATTAAACTGTTATCAACTTAATCTTCAATGCCTTAAATATCATGGAATGTCAAAAATGCAAAAGCCACAATCCTATACAGAATTTCCCTTAAAGCATAAATGATTATAATTTTAACTCCTGTATTTGAAAAGGATGAAGATATTTTTCTTATGGATACTAATCAAGTGAATTAATGTTCAAAAGAGTTATTAATAGAATTACAATGAAGCTAAATAAAAATATTCCTACTTAAATAAAATTATAAATAGTGATTTACCTAATTCTTTTTAAACAAATTTTTTTTTTACCTTTTCTATTATAATTTATAGAATTCTCCTTTCTTTTTTTTAAATTTTCATCGAATTGTTATAATTAAATTACAATTAATTTAAGAAAAAATTAACAAAATTGGTATTTAGTTTTTATCAGAGTAATAAAAATAAACACTCTCTATACTATATGGTTGAATTGTAAAAGCTAATGTATATTCATATTGATAATTTAAGATATCTAGAATTCCACTCATAAAAGTTGCATTTCTTTAGCTTCCTTTGTTTGTTGATGTGTACCAATAACTTTCAAAAATATAGAGATTATAAATATTATCTATTAAAAAAGATTAGAAGCCTATAATAGTCTTTCAAAAAGATTAAAATTCTTTTCTTTAGATAGCATCCATGATATTAGATTTTAATCATCATATCCTTTAACCAAATTGGAATTAAGAAATGCTATTGGTTAATTATATTCCTATTTTGTTATCATTTTTTTAGATATAACTTAGTTGAGTCCAACTATTATGTATCTTGAATTTAAAAAAAGGATTCAATTGGCTCATAAATATAATACTTAATACCCAATAATACCATAAGTTCCTGATATGTCTATAAATTTTACCCTTAATCAATAGGAATTATCATATTTATTATCTCTTTAAGAATAGAAATGAATTTATGTTAAAGTTTAAATATATTCTGGAAGATTTGTTAATCTTGCTTATGGTTATTTTCAATTTCTAATTCTAGTCCATCAATTATATTTTTTAATAATAAAGGCCTTTAAGAATCCAAATGAGATGTATATTATTACTAATTGATTTATTTTAAGCTTGTTATTTCATTCCATAAATTAATTTCCAAAGGAATATTAATATTTTATTTTTCTTCAATATCTCCATAAGGTATTGATATAGATTCTAATAATTATGGTTTCTCTGATTTAAAATCACTTATTTCAATAATGAAGTAGAGATTCTTTTTATTAATAAACCTAACTTTGACACACATTAAACCTTAAAAAAAAGATTAACATTGTTTTATGCTCTTAAATTAGGTGTAGTTTATTTATTAATTCTTAATGGAAAGAATAGCTTATCCAATCCCAAAATCCTGTCTTAAATAAAGTCTTTTTCCTTTAATTCTGGAATAATAACAAATAATGAAATATCAAACAGTAGCATCTTAGAATTTGCTGGATAATCTAAAGATTTTTTCATAAAGAACTTATTAGATTTCTAGAATCTAAAATAATGTAATGGACTTCATTGTCACTACTTAATTGCTTTAGAAATGTTGTTACTAATAACTTATTCATATTAAGATCAAAAGATATATCCATACACATTTCAATTGGACTTCTGCTTCCTGCATATCCTTACAAGAAGGATTAAATAATATTTAAATAACATTTATTCTTGCCTGTTTAAAAAAAAAATCTTTGAACAAGTATTTATACGTAATTTATAAAATTAATTGTCATTTAAAATAAATGATGCGAATTAATATTAATTTACTAACTCTTAATAAACATTGTTAAAAAAGATTATTTATTCTTAATCTTCTAAATGAGTATTGATTGTATAAAAACTTAGCCTTTGAGTATTTTTAAATTAATACATATGTATGCTTTTTATTTATCAATTATAATTGCATTTATTTCATAAATTATGATTTTCTATTAAAAGAGTTAAGTAATTTCTGAGTAATGTTCAAAGCTTCAAATAATCTATTATTATTAATGAGCAATTATATGAATTACAAGTAAAATAATGATTATACTAGAGATTATGTGATAAAGGTTTTGAAAAAATCAATTTATTCTTTAAGAATTAGATGCTCCAATTTAATTACATTTCTATATCACCAAAATTTTACTAGCTTATCTATATTCACAACCTCTTTCTTAAGTTAATTTTTAATATTTGAAAGACTTCTATTTTCTATAAAACAATTTATAATCAATTTAAGTATTCTACTCAAGTAGTACAAAGTGATTAATTTGAAAAGTAAAATTCCAACTGTAATCCACAAGAATTATAATCTGAAGTTACTTGCATCATTTATTCATTATTAAATAGAAACACAAATTATTAAACATTGCATTAATACATCTAAACTTATGATCATTAAATCATGTTTAATGTTTAATATTAATAGGATGTACAATTAATAAATAATATTAAAGATTGATATCTGATGCAAAATAAATAATCTTAAATTTTATCAAATAAGTTTAAAAATATCCTTTTATTAATAAATATCTTAAAAATTCTTTTAAAAATAAGAATGGGGTTTTCCAAATTTTAATCAAAAAAAAAATCTATCGTTAAACGTGATTCATATTTACTAATATGATTTATATAAGATGTTATCTTTTTGTCATTCTTTAGTATATTCATAAGATAACACCAATATAATATAAAATTTATATTGTCACAAAATTGAAGAGTGTGTATTCAACTTATTAATTTGCACTTATAAATAAGCATATGGTCTAATTAGATAAACTGTTTCTTCAAATAAAATATTATTCTCTTTCTCAATAATAATTATTAATTGACAATAAAAGAAATATTCCAAAAGAATTTTCTAGTTTTTATCCATTTGTAAAAATCAATAAACCATATTTCAGTATTAACAAGTCATTTAAAATTTATAAGCCAAAATGGATTTATTTTGTAGGTTGGCTTGTAAATTCCTTTATAATCATTGTTCTGTATATGAAAGAGTTCAAATTTTCAAAAATTTCATTCAAACAACTTAATATTAAATAATATCTTGAATATATCATTTTTTTCTCCTTTGTTTAATTTTTAGAGATATATCTTTATGAAAATATGAATAAATTCAAAAAAAAGAAAGTATTGATTATAAATTATAAAATATATTTAAATTGAATAGTTGAAAACAATAAGGTAGCCAGATATTCTGAGCATATTGATTTTATTAAACTATTCAATGATTTCTAATATTTCATGCTATTCCATTTCAACAAAATTTGATTTATCAAGCTTAATTACTGCTCAGCAAAAATAAAACCAAATTTTAGAACCTCTACATCATCTTCCAATTAAATTTTTATTGTTATTAGAAATCTACATTTCAATTTAAACTCTTTAAACTTCACAATACTATGATTTGAAAAAAAATTAAATTGTTTAGGGTGATATATACACAAACAGATTAAAAGTTAAATATTGTTTAAAATCAAGATACTATTATCATCTTCTTAACAAAAGAAATAATATGACTATAGAAAAAAAGTACGCCAGTTGGTGTTTTAACATTATGATATAGCCTTAAAAAAATTACTACCTTTTTAAACCAAATCAAATCCAATGTTTGCTTATGCTTAACTAAATTTATTGTCATAAGTTTTTATATATGAATAGTCTATCAAATCTGGGTCACTCTAAAATAGTTCATAAAAAAAAGCTTAAATTAATAATTATACCAACTTCAATAATTAATTAATTGTAAGTGTAGTAGTTTGTTTTAGAAGTTGATGATTTTACTAAAATGGCTTTGAAAATTATTCTCAAACTTTATAAATTTGAAGCAGATTCTGTTTTTGATGGAATTCAAGCAATTGAAAAAAGTTAAACTCAAAATGCAATAATATTGCTAAACCTATCAATTAATTTTCATGGATATCAAAATTTGTTGAGATGAATGGATTTTAAACAACTTAGCAAGTAAATTTTAGATTTTTGAAATTGACAATAAATAATCTACAATTATTGCTTATTAGGTATATCTCTTCCAAAACCTGTCAATCAAGAAGAATTAGAATTATTAACAAATTTTTCTTTCTATAAATATAATTTAAGTAAGTTATTTGAATATCTAGAAGCTTATTAAATGACACGTTATAATATTCTGTCAATAAAAAACATATACTCTTTCAATCATATTATAATAATACCTCCTATTAAATTACCATCCATAAAGATGCATAAAGGATTTTCAAAATGTAATAAAAGTTACATTATTTTAAAGGTAAGTAGTATTACTATTGATATTATATTTATATAGTCATTTATAATGGTTAAAGTATTTATCCAATAGTTTTGATAAACTAAATGGAATATGCTTATAATTTATGAAGGAAAATAAAATCTTTAAAAGCGTCGCAGGTTTCAGTCAGTTTTATTCATTCAAACTGAAAATAACCAATTTTGCTTAATTTAAAAATAAATACAATTCAATTCAAATCAAATCTAATAACAACTCCATTCAAATCTAATATTTAGATAAGAAATAAATCTAATTTCCCCTTATTTAAATTAGAATATAACATTAACTAAAATGGTATCCATAGCATAAAACTATAAATATCACTTATCATATTTAACTTTATTTAGAATCAGTATCATTGATGATCTACTATAAAAAAATTATATCTAATGATCAGAATTTAATTAAATAAAATTTTAAATTATAATCTAAATAGCATGGGAATAATAATCCTACTTTTTTTTTTGCCTTTTAAATATTTGATATACTTTAGAAAAAATGTATTTTTATTATTATATTAATGAAATAAAACTATTAAATTTGAGTTTAATTTTAACGTAAAATAATTGCAATTAAAATGCATTTCTCTAAAGATTATAAAAGCAAATCTTTGTAAAGGAAAATAATATATAAATTATACAAAAACAATTATTATCTTTATGAATTTCAAATGATCCTTTTCGAATGATTAAATAATAACATTCTTTGATAGGGTAATTAAATTGTGATAATTCTATAAGATAATATATATATTTAATCAAATTTATTACAAATTTTAACAATTAAGAAATCATGATTATGCTTATATTTGTACATTTGCTATTATAGTCCACTAATTAGATTTGCTTGTAAAATCTGAATGAAATGTTATTAGTAATTAGAAGTAACTATAAGAACGTTTTAAAATTAAATCAAGGAGCAATCATATCATCAAGATTATAAATTGGTTTCGTAGGAGATAATTATGGTAGTAGTAAGATTGTGTCTTAATTTTTTAAATTAATCAATAATTATAAATAATTATAAAATATATTTTAAATAAGATTTTATCCTAATTTAAAAATAATTAATCCAAATTAATAAAAAAACTATATTTTATAATAAAAATATATATTTTGAAGATTTTATCTTTCTTTTGTTAATTTTTATATGCTTTCAAAGGGTCGAGCAATTACTCGACTTCCTGCAAAATTGAATGATTCCACCTTAGTTCTGACAACTTAATTTTTCACATGTATTCTTTAGGTTTTTACATGGCTCTTTATGGGACTCTAATTACATGATCTACTTTAACCATATTATTTACCTAATTCGAACAAAAAATCTATATATTCATAAGTAGGTTAAAAATCATCGCTATAATTAAATGTTGGATAGGTCATATAATAAAAAAGTAAATGCAACATCTTCACTAGCAGATTAAAACCAAATATTTTGTATGAATCATTGTAAATGGTAGACCACCTCTTTCTGAAGTAATACCTTACAACATAAATATATATTTTTCAGGATTTCTTTTATATTCTCTCATATTTCTAAGTTCAGTCAGGATTAATTCATCTCTTTATAGTGTGCCACTATTTGCAATCATCGTTATTTTAGAATCTAAAATTTGTTTAAAATCTTCATTCTCATCTAATTTTGCCTCAGAATTATATTCTTTACACTTTTATAAAATCAATTTAATAATCAATCTATGTGTAGAAATCATAATACCAATTTCTTAAACAAATTAAACGCTACCATTCCTGGATATTTGTCAAAATCCAATGTTAACCAAATCCCTGGAGTCTCAACATATTCTTCAGGATTATTCAAACTTAGTTCATAAGCCTGATCCACAGCTTTAATGAGATTGGGTAAATATTAGGTATGATATATTAATGATTTTTAATGTATGATGAAAATTCGTTATTTGTTAGATTAATTAAATAACTTGGCAGCTTAAAATACTTGTAATCATTTTATTCTCTCCCTTG